CCTGCAAGTTATACTTACTGCTCTAAAGCCTTCCTGCTTGACAATGGGAAGCAGTCCAATGTGCCATTAGAAAATCCCCCTCTCAGATGAAAATGGTAAGGTGGAAATAAATGTGCATTTATATTTTTCCATCCAGATACCCAGAACAACTGGCTAGTACTAATTAATATTCCTATTTAAAAACACACTTTTGTTGTAGAATAATTGCTCTCTGTTGAATTGTCCCACAAGAAAAGCAAGTGATGTTTACAAATGCTTCTGTCATTATCGAGTGACTGAGAGTCTCATTACATGGGATGTAAATATACAATAAAGTCAAAGCCACTTTGACAGTGAGACAGCTCATTTATGAGCAATGGCCATGAGTGTCCAGTTGAGTACACTCAGATCCTATGCATTGGTGACATATACTCACCTTCATGTCCTATTCCAAATATTTTTGTTCTGTGAGCTGTCACAACAGAGGGCATGATTGTACCTTCAGCACGCCTCTAGCACTGATTATCTGGCATTGTGAGTGCACAGACATTACAGCAGAAAAACATTAACATAAAATCCATGTGAATCCACTTTCTTCCTTTCCTTGTTTTACTCTATATCTCAAGCCTGAGGTCTCCACTTCTCATCTCTATTTACAGGCAAGTTGTTTTTTGAATATGTACTTATCTCTATGATGCTACACTGAGCTTCTTGTTTAAGATCTGAGTGCCTCCAGCTCTCTCCACACTAGAGATGTGCAAAGGGGAGAGACTGACTTCACTTGTGTTGCAGTGAGCTTGAAAGTGGATGCATCAATAAGAGTATCTCTACAAAGACCTTCCTTGGACAGAGTAGGGAACTGGTAGCAGAAAATTCTTACTTGCTACACTAGTAGAGAGGTGGGCTCAGACTCTTCTACCTGTTTAAGGATATAGTCAATCCAAAGCTTTAAAGAGAAAATAAAGCCTCAAATTTTGCCTGAAGGGAAGCAGGGTCTGATGTTGAGAATTGTTCATTTCATGATAGATGATGCTACTCGTTCATCTTCAAGGCAGCCCTATGTAGGGATGAGATACCTCTCTTTGCATTTACTTTTCTCCCATCGTGACTGCAAATTGAACCATTCATATTTTTTGACTTTAGGGATAAATAATCAGACAACTTTTTAAGAATGAAAAACACAAAACACATACTTCATTTGTTTTTGTAATAATCAGTTGTTTCTATAGCTCATCCCTGATCGCAGTATGAATTCGATTTCAGAAGTCACATAAACCTTGGTAACATTCTGCAAACTCTCTTTCAACTTACACTGAAATTGTATTTTGACACAAGTTCAGGAAAATGAATGCTGCCCCACATACAATAAATTTCATACCAGAAAATACTCTCTTCAAAATAGTGCTCAAGTATAATAAAACATATTTAACATGTAAAGCCAATGGAAATTTAAAGTGAATATGTGTTTAAGTGGTTTCTAATTTCAAATTATTTGTGAAGAATCATCCCATAAACCTCAAGTTGGGATCTCTCTGGATTGCCAGAAAGTCAGTGAAACAAAACACTGGTGGCTATGGCCCTGTGTAGAGCATCTTTTACCTCCTTGTTCCTCCAGCTGTAGATGAGAGGGTTCAGCATAGGGATCACCACAGTGTAGAACAACGATGCAATTTTGTCCTTGTCCAGAGAGAAGTTGTTGACTGGTCGGAAATACATAAAGACAATTGTTCCGTGGAACAAAGAGACAGCCATCAGGTGAGAGGTACAGGTGGAAAAGGCCTTGTACTTCCTCTTCCTGGAGCGGATCCTCACCACAGTCAGAATAATGAAAATATATGAGATGAGGATGCAAATGATGCTGCTCATCACAAACAAGCTGCCAAAAATGAAAACCAGCAGCTCATTGAGAGTGGTACTGGAAGAAGAAATCTGGAAGAGAGGGCTGTTATCACAAAAGAAATGGTTTACCATATTTGAAGAGCAAAAGGATAGTTTTAGCAAGCCACTGGTGTGCACCAGAGAGTTCAGGAGGGCCAAGAAGTACAAACCTTTCACCAGCCTCCAGCAGACCGCCTTGGTCATGATGACACTATAAAGCAGAGGTTTACAGATGGCCACATACCGGTCATATGCCATCACAGCTAGCAGCAGGCACTCTGAGATTGTCAACAAAACAAAGCTAAAGTACTGCAGAATGCAACCTCTGTATGAAATTGCTTTTGTCTCTTCTAAAAATGTAGCCAACATTTTGGGAGTAATGACTGTAGAATAAACAGCATCTGTGAAAGACAGATTTTGAAGGAAAAAATACATTGGTGTTTGAAGCTGGAGATCTATGCTGATTAATGTAATGAGACCCAGATTTGTTAGTAAAGTGGTGGTGTAGATGGCTAAAAACACCATGAAGAGAGGCATCTGCAGCTTTGGATTGTCTGTCAATCCAGACAGAATGAACGTGGTTGGTGATGTGCAGTTTCCTGAAGCCATTGAGTTTCACTGGTGTGCTGTCTGCCATCCAGAAAAAGTAAGAATGATGATGAAAGGTTTGTTAGTGCTTAAAAATGAAAGGTTTGTTAGTGCTTAAAAAATTAGTGGGCTAAGGAAACATGCAGTGCTCATACCGATTGTCAACAAGTACATAGTGACTTGAGAAAAACAGTTCCCAAAGTTCCCAAAACATATTTCACTATGAGAAATATCACTACCTAGATAATGAAATCTAATTAACCCATTTATTTATTCCATCCAAACAAGCTATCTAAAATCTTGGTGCCTAGTAGGAGACAGTTGCATAGATTCCCTTTCTCTGCAGTGAGCAGTGACAATGAATGAACTGTGTTCTTGGGTGAGGACGTGTTTTTATTGACAACAGAAGATCCTACACCAGATATAATTTTAGTTGCTATCAAATCAATATAAAGCTCACTCTGTGAATGGCAACCAAATTTTATTTGTCTACAAATGTTTCCAGGCTTCTTAAATTTAGCAGAGAGAAGTAAAAGGCACCGGTAGGGTGGCATGCATCATATCTATTCCATGTTTGCTCCTAAGACACATATCTGAGGGTGAGAATCTAAGGGCATTAAGCCTAAAATAGTTACCTACAGAGCCCCAACATAAGATATGTGATCTCAACCCTAAATCTTAGTGCAAACATGCTTTTCAGTACCTGTGCTTATCCTGCGCTTGTTCCTTGCAATCCAAGCTGGAAACCAACCAACCAACCAACCAAACAAACAAACAAAAAAAAAAGCCCAGCAGAGGTCTACGCTTATGGATGAAAATCTTTCTTAAAAAATTAAGATGAGACAAACCTCTTCATTTTCTTTTATGCTGTCTTAGCCCACATAATACAGACATACTGTTGTAACTAAGATTTGATTCAGGCATAGTTACAGTAGTTCTGCAGAATCAAACAAAATGCAACTTTCAGCAGCAAATACTTACTTTCCAAGGTAAACTTCAATAAGGACTGATTTTTACATGAAGTAACAAGAATTATGCAGCTCATCTATGCCTTGCCAATTTCCTCTGATTTTTAATTTTTATTCCAAAGAGGCAGGCACTTAGCTGCAGCACTGTGTTCATACACTCAGAAAAAGTCTTAAGCAATTATATATTGGACAGCCAGGCCACAGTAGCATGGCAATTATACTGCACTTTATGTCCCCTGAGAGATGGAAGCTAATTACATCACAATGTCATCCTGAGAAGATTTGTAGTATTTCTGATTCTTAAAGATGATGTTTATAAAGACATTAAGTTGACCTAATTCATGCCATAAGTGATTGGTACATGTGGAAACCACGTATGATCAAATGAAGATAATCTTTTACTGTTCATTAGTCTTAGTAATGGGAACCAATCTAGATAACATCAGTTTTTGTAAGAACACAGCAAAATGGCAGCAGTCCAATCATCCAAATCTCTCTTTGGTTTCTGTCTTGATTTGGTCTTTGCAACAGCTCCTCAGATGAAATCAAATTTCTCTTTGATGAGATCACAGAATCATAGAACCACAGAAAGTTTGGGTTGGAAGGGACCTTAAAGTCCATATAGTCCCAGCCCCTGCTGTGGACTTATTGCCCCCCACCATATCAAGCTGCCCATGGCCCCATCCAGTCTAGCCTTGGGTTGGGGATTCACAACCAGGAATCCAGGGATGTGGGAATCCACAACCTCTCCATGCAGAATGTGCCAGGACCTCACCACCCTCTAAAAATTTTCCCCTAACATCTAACCTGCCTGTTGCTGAATATTGCTGTGCTGTGCCATGAACATATTGCGACTTTTGACTTTATCACAGTGCAATCTGGGGAACATCACTGAAGATACTGAGCAAATACAGATAGCTGGTGACATTCCAACAACATAGCTCCATGAACAAGTTAAGGGTGTTCTCTTTAATGATACAAATATACAACCTACCATTGAACACCAGGCAGTGCCATTGTGATAAGACAGGTCCAAGTCCAAGACCAGAAGTCAGCTCACAAGTAAGGGCTAGGATCAAGTCTGGTGATCACCAGGTACATTCAGAGGGTCAAGGCATGGCTGGAGTCAAATGAAAAATTCAGCCCATGGGTTGAGATCTGGATCAAGATGCTCTGTGGGCTAAGCAAAAACTAGGACTCCTCTAACATACATCAAAAGGAGAATAAAAGCAACACCCCAGACTTGGGCTTAAATAAAGCTCCTGAATGTGGGGGGTGGGAGCTTCAGGTGAGCCTGATCAGGGCAATTAATGCTTGCTAAAGCACTGTGAGTCCTGACACAGACACTTATAGCGTGGCTTTGAACCTTGATAAAATCCTACAAATGTCTGCTGATTATCATAAGGAACTTATAATCAAAGATATTGAAGAATCATTAAAAAATTGAACATTTTTATTGTGCATTAGAGCTAAAGACACTTTGAAAATGTTTTAGTACGTTCTCAGTCACAAGCAACAAAAGAAGTTTTACTTTCCAGATGCTGGAAAAAAAGTTATTCACTCCATCAGAGAAGGAAAACCATCATCTGAAAGTTTTCAATTACTTTATTCAATTTAAACATCTGCAGTCAAAAGTAGACATAACTCACTTTCCAGAAAAGACGGATCACAGTCATGCCTCTGAATAGGTGTTACAAAATACCTCTACAAAAAGTACAGGTGAGCTGCTTAATCCAGAATACAATTGCTCTATTTTTAACAACCAACCGTAAGTTCTTAAATGCATGACAGAGGATTCATCTATGAAATATGGAGGTTGAAGGTAACCTCGCTAAATGTAAGAAATGTAAAACTGTAGATGCCCATATCTGGGAGTGATTCCCTTTGGTGAAATAGCAGACAGATAGGTTCTTGAAATAAAAATTAGCCTTATTTTAGGTTTCTGCCTTAGGAAAATACTCACTACATAACCCCTTTTTTATTTCCAGCAACAACAAAATACAACTGTGGAAGCCAGTTAAGATGGAGATGATAGGAAAAACAGGAACAGGTATTAGACAGATTTAATGATTGCGCAGCGATGAACCAGAGCTACCCTATCAGCACTTAGATGTAGTTTTTCCTGCTAAGTAAATGACTGAGAAAACACTTTTCTCTCTAGTGACCTTCTTAAGGCTTCCCTCACCTCCTTGTTCCTCAAGCTGTAAATCACGGGGTTCAGCATGGGAAGGATGACAGTGTAAAACAAAGCAATCAGCTTGTCGGTGTCCAATGAGTAGCTGGAGCTGGGCCGTAAGTACATGAAGAGGAGGGAGCCATAGAAGAATCCAACAGCCATGAGGTGAGAGATGCAGGTGGAGAAGGCCTTGTGCCTGCCCTCTGCCGTATGGAGCTGGAGGATGGTGCCAAGGATGCAGGCGTAGGAGATGACGATGACCAGGAAGGAGCTGGTTTGTATGAAACCGCACAAGGTGATGAGAAGCACTTCGTTAACCGTGGTGCTTGAGCAGGAGAGCTCCAGCAGTGGGGGAATGTCACAGAAGAAGTGGTTGATGGTGTTGGAGCCACAGAAGGACAGGGTGAACGTGAAAGACGTGTGCACCAGCGAGGTCAGGCCCCCGCTGAGATAAGCCCCAGCTACCATGGAGGCGCAGGCCCGGCGCGACATGGCAACGGAGTAGAGAAAAGGCTGACAGATGGCCATGTAGCGGTCATAGGCCATCACAGCCAAAAGGAAGCACTCAGCATCAGCCAGAGCAGCAAAGAGAAACATCTGTGTAGCACAACCAAAGAAGGAAATGTTGGTGCGCTGCGCTACGAGATTCACCAGCAGCTTGGGAGCAATGGTGGAGGCATAGCTGAGGTCTAAGAAAGATAAATTGCTCAGGAAATAGTACATGGGCGTGTGAAGACAGGCATTGAGCCGGACGAGTACGATGATGCCAGCGTTGCCCCCCAGCGTGGTGACATAGATGAGCAGGAAGAGCCCAAACAAAGGTAACTTCACCTCCCAACGGTCAGTGAAACCCAAGAGAACGAACTCAGTCACAGCAGTGTGGTTTTCTTCAAGCATTTCATGCCTTCATCTTGCCCCCCCAGGTCAGCACTGTCTATCAGTTTGTTGCTCAAGAGACATTGTGGTAGCACAATTATTTTACACACGATATCAAAAGCAGCAAGCAGTGAGATAGTGCATAGTTAGACGTAACAGTTGATAAGGACGTGGAACAGGAATTTCTGCAACGCTAATTCCATGAGAAGTTCTCCATTTGAGAGAGGTCGAGAACGAACCTATGTAAAATTGGTTCTTTTAAACATTTTAAAATATTTGAAGCAAAGAATAAGGTCAATTCGAGTTTTATGTGTTGCACAGCTGAGAGAAAACATCATTTCATGCAAAATAAGCAGGAGATACACACCTTAGTGAAGCATGGGGATCGGACAGGGGATTCTGTTTTGACATTCTATTGCACGTTACTCCACATCTTTTCCTTCCTTATAAATGCTTTACATGATGTGAGAGATGGGGGAAGGCTCTTCTCTCAGTCAGCTCACTTTTAGAACTGAAATTAAATGATGAAACTGTAGATTGAATATTTTCCACAGTGAAACTTTTTAGAATTAATGACCATGTAATTGTTTTTTGTTCAAGATATACACTTTTAATTTAAATTGCTTTCAAATGTGTGCCGCAGAACACATTCCTCCAAACGCATTTAACTTAAACTTCCAAAAGCAACTTTTACTCCTTTCAACATGAACTTGAGAAAGGATACATTTTCGTTCATATTTCTACTTACAATAGGAGATCCACAAAGAGACATGCAGGCAGAACTCACCAAAATGACGGCAGATTCCAATGCTATGTAGACCAAAAACACAGTGAAACTGAAATGTCAACATTTGGTCCAAATAACCCCAAAGAAATCAAGTCAGCAAGAAAACACTAGGAGCCCTTCAGGATGCGTAACCAAATGCAATTCAAAAATAAATTTTTGCATAGATACAGAAAATAAATGAGGCAACAAATTAGGCTGAATTTGGACATACACAAAAACACACCTTCCTTTCCCCGTTGCTTAACCAGACCTTGCAGCTGGAAGAATTTGCAGCCCTGTTTAGTAGCCTAAGTGCCAATCTGAGTCCTCTCAAGTCCATTTTTAAGGTGGACATCATTTACAATCATCTGTTTCTCTTTTTTTAGTGCAACAAATATAGACTGGGTGAGCAGCACACATCCATCACCACACTTTTGGAGAAGCAAATCTGAGTAAGCTGAATCACCTCTTCAAAGACCCTTCTGCTGTAGGTGGGAGGAGGACATGTTGAAGGGTCACTTCTGAAACAGGAGACATCTCCTCTAGGATCTGATGTATCTTCTGCACTTGCCTCTTCTCTCCCTTTCTAAGGACCTAGAGTGCCTAAGCCCATGGTTTACATCCCTGATGAAAGGTGACTGTGGATTTTTAGGTGAAGCTTGCTAAACTCACTGACACAGACACTTTCAAGCTCCCACTGACCCTACATGATTCTGCAGAATTCCAGTGGAATCACTGCAGCCAACAGGTAAAGCAAAAGCTCAGCAGTTTCTTGGAAGGAGCAGCAAGTCTTGCCCAAATTTAACCTCCACACACTGTGGCAATGAAGAAATGCCTGCATAAATGCTAGAGGCAGAAGCTATTTCCCCAAGCAGGAATCTAGGTAGGCAGCATCCTTGCTCTTATCAAGCACAGGCTATAACCCCTTAAACAAGCCAGGCAGCCTTCACCTGGAACTGAAAAAGAGTTTGTTGCCACTACTATTAGATAGATGTTATGAAACCAGTGGGGTCAGGGAACCACATTGTCTGTTGGAGAGGTTCTCTTAATCCCAGCTACACTGCATCAGTGAGAAGCTTTTATTTGCCATTCACAACAAGTCAAATCTTTTAAAACAGGTGCACTTCAGAAACAAATGTTCTCATAGATACAGAAAATAAATGAGCTGCTAAATTACTTTCCTTGCTGCCTCTCTCTTTCTCATCTTTCCCCTGTGCCTCAACAGACTGGAAGTCAAGCATAACTTACTTTGTTTTTTGCTATCCTTTGGAGATGGCATGTCACTTCAACAGAAATGATGGAAAGGTCATCTACTCTCCCTGCAAAACTGAAGCACTGGAAGGAACCTCAGTGATAATAAGACCTGGCAAGAGGTCACATTATTGCAGCAGCTAAATCAACCAGCCACCAGTGAGTGAAGCACCATTACAGTTAAATGCTGATATTTCCTCTGTTGTCCCTTCTTGCCAAAGTCAGACCTACCTGGGGAGGGTGTGAGGACCATCTCGCAGCCAGCTGGGCTTGTAGCCATGGCAAGGTTTTAATGCAGCACCGATGCGACACCAGGGACGTGGTCCCTGCTGCCTCTTCTGCTGGATTACCTCATGGACAAAGGACAGCTGTGCTCTCTGCAGCTGCTGGAAATAGAACTTCAAAGGGTATGGGTTTGCTTTTAGCAGCAAATTTCATAGCCTTTTCCTTTATGAGCTGCAGAGTATCCACATTAATGTTGTTCTCCATGAGCTTTTAGGTTGGAAAGGGGGTTGCAATTTTAAAAATAAAAAAACAAACAACCACAACTTACGAACAACTGAAAACATCAAATCACTTAATGCAGCCCATGGAAATACCCAAATCAAAGCCATTTGAGCCCTGCTTTTTAACGATCAAAAAATCCTCCTGTTACAATAGGAGAGAACTGAACGAAGACAGAAACGGGACTGCAAACTGTGAGATAATAAACACAAAGGGAGAAGGGTAACACATGAACGTGGACATGTTTAGGAAAGAGCATGTGCATGTGAAATATTGGGTCTTGATGAAAAAAAAACAGCAGACTGAAGCAGGGTTGTTACTTACCATCTCAGAAGTGGAGAGCAGAGAGATTATCTGCAGCAGAACAGGAAATCATTCTGTGAATGTTACATGTTGCGTTTTTCCTATCATAAAGAGAGAAATACCTGATAAATGGTACATACCAGCGGAGTTGTAACTTTCCTTCCTCTGCAAGGGAGCAAGACACTGATGGAGCTTTATTGCAGAAAATCTGTGAAAGCTACGTGAGCATGATCTGAAAGGGGAAGCAAAAAATGCCTTTGTTTCTGATGAAAGCACAAGAAGCAACTGAAGCCATGTTTTTGTAGGCTGTTCTTCCCATGATTAGTTTGTTGGTTACAATTTTCAGCAAGGCCAAATCTTAAAATAGTAATAATATCCCTAAACATTCTTCTGTGGGACTCCACAAAGAACCTTAATCAGAGCTGAAAAAGATATTAAAAAATTACATCCACAAAAATTTCCAAAGACTCTGCTCTGCTCATCTATACTCATTTTCCATCTTTCTTGAGCGGTGTCCCCAGGTCTGAATGCAGTGTTCCAGATGGGGCTTCACAAGAGCGAAGTAGAGGGAGACAATCATCTCCTTCTCCCTGCTTTCATCAGAGCTGAAAAAGATGAATAAGGTGAAATACCTGAAGGCAATTGTCCCTGCCTGTTTATGCTCACCCCAGGCTCCTCCATGTGCAATTTGAGGAACCTGTGTAGAGCTTTCTATAACCTTCAGAGTCTTGTGTACTGCAGTGTTTGGCATTATATATCTGAGATTTTGCTGCTAGTGGTGTTTCAGCCCAAACTACTGAACAAGCTGAGTATGGCTCAAAAAGCATGGCAAATTGTCTTCCTATATTTGGGCTGGTCTTGCCCATTGCCCACTGCCGTGTTGAAAGGGAATCTCAGACTTCTACGAGTTTAGAGTCTTACAGTCATTTTGAAGAAACTCTCTAAATCTACTGGAGACTAAAATCTTAGATTTGATCATAGGAAATGATTAAATCTCCTGGAGACAAGGAAAGTCTTAATGTTGACTTGAGGACTTTGTCTTCAAGTCAGCTTTAGATAAGACTTAAAGTGTGCCAGCCATTAAATCTTAAAGTTGACTTCAGGAAAATCTTAAAGTAGAGTTTTGGAAACTGCTGAATTTTGCTAGAGGCTCTAAAGGTAGTCTTCAAGTCATCTTTAAGTATATTATATAATTATGTAATTTTATACATATTTGTAAGTACACACACAAAATTTTCAAGGCAATTTCTGCCTTTCCAAGAAGAGTTTGTTGTGGGAATACAAGAAAAACTGTTCAGAGCAGAAGCTGTGGAGCAAGATAAACAGCATGAGAACCAAGGACACCTCTAGAAGAAGAAGGAACGTCTCACGGCTCTGACTGGACAAGTGCCTGTGTGAACGGTTGAAGAGTGTTTTGTAGAATGCTTTGTTGACATGTAAAGGTGGATGGGAAAGTTGTAGGGGTGGATGGGAAAGCTAGAAAAAGAAAACTTTTGAAGGTATAGAAGTTAAGTGAGAACTTGTAATAGACGATTTGGATCATTCACATCTGAGTCAGTGCATCAGATGCTACAGTTTGTGGCCTGATGCACTTCCTCAGTTATCCACATTCCTCATCCCTGCTGCTGGGAGTTTCTGCACTAGGAGGCATACCAGGACTGGATCCATTCTTTCATTCTTTTGGGAACACAATGGCACATGCCTCATGTGCAAATAAAGCAAGCTCTGGGGCAGCACCATCCAAATGGACAAATACCAACAATAATAATAAACAAATAAAAATAAAAAGCATGGAGATGGACTTTGAAATAGCCAGTGCCACTGATTTCAGGACAGTTCTGTACCTTTTGGGCACTTTGGCAATCCCCATGCAGATATACAGCCCATTACACCACTCCAGCAGACCTGTAATTCACCATTGCACCATGAATGTTATAACTCAGAACTGGAACCCAAATGTGCACCACTGACAAAGGCTTTCAACAGTACATCTGAAAGGAAGGGGAATGGAAAAGGAAAGGGAATGGGAAAGTCATTTCTTTCACCCCCCTACTCCTCCCCCCTCCCCCCCCCCCCCAAAAAAAAAAAAAAAAAATCACATGCTTAATATAATGGAGAAAAAAAAAAAAAATGCTAGATTCTCAATCATTTTTGCCACCCACAGCAAATAAGGCAGCTTTCATTATTTATGTCCTGGAATTGTTTTTGGCAAGTGGAAACATTTGTGCTTCTTAACACAGGTACAAAGAAGTAAACATGAAATTGAGAACGCATCACCCAATGCCCAGAGACACTAAGACCAAGGTGGGCCAGTACTTTAAGTCAAGGATACATCAGTAAACATTCCATAAACATGACGACGACTCCATATACAGTCTTTAATATCCAATTGCTCGTAAAGTAGAAAATGCATTAGCAATATGATCTTAGCTGGCAATGACATGACAGCACCCTTTGTAACATGGAAACAGCCCATTCACAAAAAACCCCAGCACATCAGCATCACAGAGCAGGAAACTCAAATTATGCAAAATTCTCTCTAGAAACATGGCCTACCCTATTAACAGTCAGAAACAAATTGGCTACTCACTTTGTTACATCACATGGTGGTGTTCTATTTTTTAAACATGCATCATGTGTGAGCTTTTTATTTATTGTTATTATTTTAATCTTCAGCCAGCCTCTTGCCTGGATTCAAGTTAGTGATTTTTCAGAGGCCAAGCATAGCAAAAACTGATAGAGTTTTCAGTTTGAGTTTGAGGAAAGTCTGGAGAAAGATGCCAGCACCATTGGGATTTGCAGTGATTTAATCTGTGCACAGAAACTTGTGCTCCACATTTTCTATCCATCTGAAGCCAGTAAGATTTAGGGCTTTATCCTAAACAAAGATTCAGCACACTGGGTTTTGCTTCAAACCAAGTGAGTGAACCAAAACAGGGCCTTTAGTTTCCCACAGACTGTGATCTGTTAACTCAGATGCAAGCCTCCAAAACCTTCTCTCTGTTTATCCATGTGCTACTCTGTATCTTGGGTTATCTGAAGAGCTAGCATAATCCACTTCAGTGCTTATTCAACATTCCTAACATCTACTTTGCCCATGAAGATCACAGAATATCCCAGGTTGGAAGGGATCTATAAGGAACTCCTGGCTCCACAAAGCACCATCCAAAAATTTTCTACTGGACAGGCTGGATCCAATGGTTCCCACTCATACCTCAAGAAATAATTGAGAAAAAGCATAAAATTCGACAATTAGTGAAGAGTAGTGGATCAGGCACGCTGGAGTTTGCCTTATAGGTAATGCATGGGATGCTGGGTCCTGGGTTCTTTATCCTGAAGTGAGCAGCCATCTTGTCCATCTACATCAGGCTCTATTAGACATTCTACTTTGCTTGACTGAGTTGCTCTTCAAAAGAAACTCACTGAAATTCACATAGTTTTCCAATTATCATCCAAGTCACTCACTCACCACCAAAAGCTCTTTTGGAGGCCCATTTGCAGCATCAGATGAGAGAAAAAGGTAGCATTTAGCATGTGATGTCCATGCACATCAATAGTACTGTCGTTTCCTTTGTGTAAACTTGTCTTTAAATGCATAAATCCCATACCAGTAGGTGATGTTCATTTCTATCAGATTCTGGAAAATCCACTATTGTGAGGGCTGGATGAGCCTGTCCAATTGCATACACACAAATATCTGGGAAAATCCCAGAAAGGTTTAAGTGATTGTGGTGTGGATGTATATTTGTGCCCAAGCTGTATTGGTGTTGTTTAAGAATAGCAGCAAATAATAAATGATTCAAAGAATTTTTGCTGAAATAATAAAAAAAGTAGTCTTGGAAAAGTGCAAATAGGCTGAAACATCTTTAAGGAAGAGCAGACCACATTTGGCCAGTGCTGAAGGTGATCAGCTTCTTTAAACCTGAGACAATCTGAATTTAGGAGGTCTTTACAAAAACTGGCACCTCTTCAAGGCTGACAGAGTAGTTCCTGAGGACAGTGCCTCCATCAAACACACGAGCACTGTTGGTGTCCCGCCACCGGCACCCTTCTCCCGGCAGGTAGATATCTCGCCATGTTTGCCCTTTTTCTGTTATTGGAGCCACCAGGACCTGCAGTGAAACAGGGAAAGAAAAAGTAACTTAGCAGGGTCAGTTGAGACTGTGGCAGAGAAAATCAGCAACTTTGGCTGCAAATGAGAGTATCCACGTGCGCAAGCAGCAGAGGTCATTGTTCCCATGGGCAAGGTTTACTGAACAAGAGTGGGAAGGGGTGATGTAATGTCCCTCTTTTGACCAAGCTGTGAGAGTCTGTCCAATTTGTATTTTGGAAGAAAAAACAACATCAACAAGTTGTGTATTCTCCGTCCAATGCATATTTTGGAAGAAAAAGACTCCAGAATCCACCCAAGCCATATTTTAGAACACCTGAACTGAATTAACATCAGAAATCTGAAGATTTCAGAAAACAAAGCTTTGGCCTAAAAGTTGAGCAGGCCAGGATGGATGCAGGAAGGCTCAGGCTTATTCAAAGCAGCTTTTGAGGAGATTTTATAGAGTTGTGAGAAATTTGGTGGCATACAACCCTTTAAGCTGTGGAGGGAATTATTGGCAGTCATGGGAATTTCTCTTTTCTCCCCTGACCAAGTGCTTGGGGGGATCCAGTTGAAGACACTTGAATATGACCTAATCAAGAATCAAAGACAATCTGACACCAAGACATGCAGAAACTAGGATTTTAATTAGAAAGAAACATTTT